ATAGATACAACGTCATCTTGATCATTGTCATTGATTGGTGTAATAAAGTGTACAAAGACGCAAGTAACATTGCTGATGGGTTTGCGACGAAAGGAGCATCATTGGATTCTTTGTTAGTTTCATCTGTATTGTTTTGAGTTGTTTTGAATTATGAGATGTAACACTATTTAAGTTAATGAAAAGTAAATAATCTTGTCAAAAAAAGAAGAAGAAGAAAAGAAATGCCCATTGTAGAAAGAAAACTCATAGGAAGAAAAAAATGTAAATGAATTAAAAGGAAAATTTCTAGGGTTTGGCTTGGGAATGATTGGTTAGCTTTTGACGATAGCAATAATATGTCCCAAGGTCAATTCCTACGGAGAAGCTTCAATCCAAGAGTTAAAAGGCTAATTCCAGTTAACTCATTGAATGAAAATATCAAAAGGGAAAAGGGTATTTCAAAATTTAAAATAAGGTTCAGGATTAAAAGGTAAAAAGGCATGTCTAAAATTAAAATCCTTGTGGGGCAACCCATTTTCGGGGTTTAAATCTCAAAATGGCTTTGGCAATGGTGTTATACAAATAATAATGATTGCGTATAGGCTTTGGCAATAGTGTTATACAAATAATAATGAGTACGTATACAATGCTTCCGTGTGAGCATAGTGTAGATTTACTCCCCTAGTCAAAAGACCTACTTGGGAGGTTATTTCAATATAAAATTTTGGGAACCACCGATTATTCTCAAAAGAGCGAAATTGCCAAGTTTTCTAACACTCACTCTCTGATAATTAGACGGTCTCTATTCAATCTTGAGACGTGGTTATTATTTCAAGTGCATAGAGGGTGCAACTAAGAAATTTTTTTATTAAAGTTAATCTAATTTACATCCCTAAAATTTGGGGTAAAATTAATCCTAGATGAGATTTTACCCAAGGGAGTAAATAAACAGTATGCTACCAAGGGAGTATAATATTTTTTGACAATGATGATATATAGAGCAAGCTTTCTATGCTTCCCCTACTGCATAAAACTTATATATTTCCCCATATCCAACAGTTCATTCTGAATGGACGGCTGAGATGACCCCAATCACAATGTCATATCTCTACGCTATTTTACTTTTACTTTTTTTGCATATTATTTTTGCACCAAATTTTGGGCGTCCAATTCTCTCTTAAACTCACACTTGTAAAAAATATAAAAACAACATTCTCAATAAAATAAAATGACCAAAATACCTTAGAAAGATTCAAGGGGTATTTTGATCATTATATTTTATCAAAAACATCTTTTTAGTATCTTTTTTAGGTGTTCCCCATTGATAAGATGGCACATACCAAATTTTATTTTCATACAATTTGTAGAAAAAAAACTAAAAGTAAAATACTTTGAGACGTCAGATCTAAATCAAACGGTTAGTAGCTCACTTGATCTAAATTAGATGACTTGATGGGAATAAGTATATATCTTCTATGCTGTCGGGGAAGTATAGAGACTTTTCCCTAATATACCACCCATCCACCAAAAGAACCAATATTGGGGCATGACAATCCAAGATGCCTTTATCATGTGTGTGTGAGAGAAAATGTTTTAAGCTGTGGTGAAGGCCCACTCGATCTATTTTCCTCACTTTCTTTCTACCCTAAAGAGAGAAAAAGATATATATGGATAGAGAGAGCATCTTAAAGAAAGTGAAGGGTAGAGAGAGAGAAATAGAAGAGAGAAAAGGATAT